ATCATTACGAGCCCTCTCCTAGAATGTTTTTGTAGATTCCGAAAATTCTATGGTAGATCAGGACGAGAATGAATCCGGGAATCCAGGACATACTCATCCTGGAGCTTCAGCTCTCCTCTGGGGAGGGGTTTTTATAGATAGAGAGGTGAGTCGAGGGTAGCCTAGCCTCCCGCTTTACCGATTTCTCGGAATCGGAGGAAGATCTCTCATCTGCCTGAACAAGAAGGAGCTGTTCTCGATGTGAGATCAGCAGCAAAAGAAAGAAGAGGAATTGGATGCCCCAGAGCCGGATAAGCCTTGCCTTAAAAAAAACACACACAACGGACCGGACACAAACAAAAGAAAGAAGAAAAAGGCCATGATGATATCCTATGTTCGTTTTCGCCCTGCCCCGATGATGCGCTCCTAGCTCGCGGAGTTACATACCAGAAAAAGAAAAAGAATCTCTCTATTGCTTTGAGAAGAGAATCGTTGGTTTGACCGACAGACTACGTGGGAAATACGAGATCTAGGCAAGCCGCTACATTTTCTCCCCTTGCCCTTGAACGATAGAAGAACTACTTATCTTCTCTTAGATAGCATCGGTTCGCATCTATGGTCAATCAATAGGTCCGCGGATCTATTCTTCTATACGATAAATCGCCATCTCGTAGCATCACCACGACACCGATTCTCGTTATTTTTCCGAGCCCCCCATGCCGTGACTTCGACTTTGAGTATGATGAATGAGTGGAAAGATCTTTCTTTATATAAGTCCCTTTCCGATCCAACCAAAGAATTAGTATATAAAATATATATTTTATATTAAAGGGTGCGAAGCAGCTGCAAGTCTTTTCTGAAAAAAGTCCCAGCTGCCCTATCCGAATCCCGCGAGTGACTAAGCGCGAGACGAGCCATAACATAAGGGGCGAATCCACTCTTCGTAGAATCGACCATAGATATCTTCTTTTTTCGGTATATTTGCATCAGGCCCCTACCTACTAGTAAGAAGGTGTCCCCGAAAGGGGACGAAACCTGTCTAAGATCCTGTGTGCGGCTTAGTAGCGCGTGAACAGAACACGTAGCCTAAGCGGAACTAAATATTCAACTAACCTATGACCCATTTTTAAAATCTACTATCAATAAACCATGTGTTAGGTTCTCGTTTCGGGAGATCTTGGAACATGCCCGTCGTGTGAATGCGCATACAAATAGGGTCACCCTCCGCCCTTTATTCGAATGGGGGTTTCTGCTTCCTTTCAACTTCGACGGGATGGGAACAAGCCAAATAGTAGTAAAGCCGATGGTGTGCCTTGAAATGCATTTTCATTCCTTTTGGGAGCCGGTCTGTGAGATTGAAAGCCCGAAAGAGTTAAGCTATCTGCTGCTCCTTAACTTGTTGGAGGTTAGAGCTCTTTGTTCGAAAGAGAGATCGATTTTTTGAATCTACAGAGACAGATATGTTTTTTGAACTGAGCCTGTTCCCGACGGCTGTTTAGGAGACTTGAATTCCTTTTGTAAGATAGCTCATGAGTGATCAAACCAGTTCCTGATTTCAGGAGTTTAGTAGTAGTCCCTTCATCTGAGTGGATGTAAGACTTCATCTTTGAGTTTCGGTTAGTAAGTAGGATGGTGGAAGGGGGCGAAACCCGCCAGAGGGAAGGCCGGGGTAAGGAAGTCTTGATTCAAGGGCTATGATGGAATTGATTGTTGTAAGAGTTGCCCCGTGGGAAGAGAATTTGTCGATTGTTTAGTTTAAGTTAAGTCAAGCAATCGCCGAGAAGAGTTTAGCAGGGAAAGCAGCTTTTGCTTTTAGGCTACTACTTTCATCGGGATTGGCTTAGTGTTCATTTTACCAAATCTTAGTACAAGGGAGGGAAGGCGACCATGGGGAGCTTTGGCTTTGGTTCGGTTTTCCGAGGGTGAGAAAAGAAAGATAGTATCAACAGACCAAAGGAAGACAACTGAGCAAGATAGATGCCACTAAACTAGCTGCTGCCATAAAGAGTGAAAAGATTTCGGAGTAGTTCAAATATAAGTAAACAGTTCAACTTATCCGGAAGGAAAGACTCTTTTTAAGCTTAAGAGAATGTCCCGGCTTAAGGTAGTGAAGTGAGCCATTAGCTCTGGGTTCCGCATCTAAAATCATTAGCTCTGCTAAGGAATCAAGCATCCAATCCGATAAGAGCATAAAATACGAATCACGTTCGAGACGGGAAAAATAGCGTAGTAGTAAAGGAATAGCCCACTTTCATACCCAAGGGTTGAGACTTTCCTTCTGATCCTAGTTCTTGGCACTGGGAGGAGTCTCTATCACCTATAGGGTAAGGAGCAATAGACAAAAGCTTCGATTCGATCTTATACTTCATCGGCCAGGAGGTGTCCATCCTCTTCCTCTTCAGATTTGCTTAGCCTTCCCCGAGAGGGCTGTGCTGACCTGCTATGAATAGAGTATGGTAAGATGGTGGCTCCTTGAGCGAAAGAAAGCGGTTATGAAACAGAAGACTCTTTGGCAGCGGTCATGTTCTCATTCAATGCCCCGTGGGAAAAGACAGAGACTTTCTCGATTGAAGTTAGCCTGATTCAGGACTGCTTTACCTGCCTTTTCTTTTAATATAACTCATTTCCTTTTTTGAAATATCGTAAGAAGACTTCGAAGGATCCCTTATTCCCCCCATGGTCAGGGTTTGGAGCCGTCGTCGCAACACACCGCCCTTACTTCTTCTCGGCGACTTATAGCTTGCGGATTTCACAGTTCACGCGTCCCGAGAACCAGGTATCGAACTACAGCACCTAAGATCCCACCTCGTGTACTGCATTCAACTAGCCATGCAGGGCTATCGAGGCAGTCACCGCTATGGGAAAAAGAGCCTTTCATAGCGGTCTTACCTCCAGAAATGGCCGCCCTCTTGTTGCCGTTGGCTCTCATACATAATAGGGGAGGGGGTGGACCTCTTTTTGAAGTCAACTCAGCCTTAGCTATTACCAGGGACTCTGCCATCGGCAGATATTCTAGCGCACCCTAAGACAATAGGCCTCGTGAAGATCTTCTGCCACTCCCTTTTTTGGACAGGTAGGTCTTTCCTGAGTCGGCACTCCAACGGTGATCTCTCACTATCACTTATGAAAATTATCCTTATTAATATTAAGGGTGTTGACAAAATCTCTTATGGGACTAAGTCAGCTATATCGGGGCTGACTGAAGGTTTCATATAGGCATGATGCATTGATTGTACAGTACCTCAGATGAGTCCACTTCTTTACAGCCGAATATTGGGGTAGCTGAGAGATATCTATTTTACTCGTCGAGTCGGGTGGGAATAAGAATGTGAGTGAGGGAGAGGAAGAAGAGACTTGGGTGAGTCAGTGGGACTTAGAATGATGCTGATTCCCTCAACAGCTAGAAGAAGGGCATAAGGCATTAGAATGAGTAGTTCTTCGCTCAACAGCTAGAATAAGAGACTGTCTTCAGTCATTGTTCGCACGAATGAATGGTTCTTTCTTCAACAGGTGCAAGAAGGTAGTTTCTTAAGTCGACCAACAGGAGAGGAGGGAGGCTCATTTTGAAGGCTTAATAAATAGGTTAAGTGGGAGGTTGTTAGAAGTAGAGGATGTTGACTTGCTTGACTGGTATGGATGGATGAAAGGCCTAAGCATTATGGTAGAGTAAGGTTGTCCACGCTAGATGCCTTGGCTTCAAGTTGCTTGTTCTCACCGGGATAGAGGCTCACTTCGCTTGTGAATGAGGTTGTTTACTTATCTTACTCGACCCTAGGAACTTGGCCAAAGATGAGGGAGATATAGCTCTTTCTTGTAAGGTAAAGTAAGGTCTTCCGTTTGCTTCCTTGGCTGGCTGTTGGATTAGGCGGGAGAAGAGGTCTTCATAGAAGAAATAAGCTTAGCTCTAGCTCCTCCTTCCTTTGAATCCAGGAATTGATTTCAGTTTCTCGACTAGCAGGATAGGTGAGAGGCTTCTTTGTTTGATAGAATGCAAGAAGTCAGAAAGATAAGAATTCCTTGAGCGAAGCCAGAAAGAAGAGCAGAACAGAAAGAAGAGAAGTGAGTCTACCAATGAGACTTGACTTTCCTCAACAATCTCTAACTTAGCCGGTGGCATCCCATCCCCTTTTTGAATCTGTGAGCTCACAAGCTGCTGCACTCCGCTATTAGCACCATCCTCTCGAAGAACGAGCTTTAGCCTTAACTGCTCTGGTTCGATTGTTCCTGATCCAAAAAATAGAGTAGAAATTTCTTTCCCGGAAGAGTACTTTTCAGATTCAACCTTTCTTCTAGCTCCGATTCTGTGTAACCTATATGACTAATTGAGGACAATCTATCTCATCAAAATGAATTGCACATTGGATTCTCGATGTATTCGTCCCGGTCTAAGGAGAAAAAAGAAAAGTTTCATGTATAGGAAAGCTAGCCCCTCTTACTAATACGACATTATTGTGATGGATGCTCTTTCTCAAGTCTTGATGGAGGGCTTTGCACTTCGCGGTCTCACCTCTCACCTATAAGGTTTCCTTCTTTCAAACCGTTATATGAGAACTTGTATGGAAAAGGATTCCCGTCTTTTACATCTTGTCCGATAAGCCCCGAGAACGTCTGAGTTGACTCTGTGCCAAGTTTTGGTTATCGGTCATCATTTTCCGGCGCACATTCTTCAGTACTTTCTTAGTACTAGCCTCAGACGATCCATTAGCTGGAGCATAGTCAAAGAGTCCATGATCCCGAAATCGGCTGCAAAGGCTTCCATCTCCTGGCTAGTGAACATGGCTATCAGTGGTTCTAGTTTCAGGCAAGCAAAAGCGATCTATGATCCCCTTTTTCATTTTAATAAATCACATCGTTCGTGGTCTTTATCGGTTCAGCCTCTACCCAGAAAGTAATCGGTGGCTACAAGGGAAAAAGGCATGCTGCTGAGTGCACAAGTGGTCTATCTTGCTTCAAATCCCCATAGCCAAGCCCCGAAAAGGACAAGGAGAAATTTATGTATCGAATGAAGGTCTGATGATGGGACGTGCTCTATCGGTCCATGTCTCTAGCATTCTTCACATCCATTAGCATAGTTGATGCAATCGGCGAGAACACGGGGCCAGAACCCTGTCTTCTAATGAGCTATATCATCTTCTGGACTGCTTGGTGAGCACCGCATACTCCGTCGTGGACCTGCCACATTCTCTTCTTTCAGAGGCAGCCTTGCAAGCACTTCTTTCAGAGGCGCCTAGCAAGCACTTCCCCGACGATAGAAGACAGAAGAAAGCAGAAGAAAGTCTTGGATTCTAGGTGTCGAAGGATCGGTCAAAGATTGGCTGTCAAGAACGTAGAGGAGGGGCGTAGCGAAGAAGCGTAGCGGTGGGCTAGTCCCATTGACTTAGTGCTGTAAAAGGACCTACGACGATCCTCTACTTTTTCGCCCACTCTCCGGGATTCTCCCCAACTATCTACCTGTAGGTAGAGGGCTGAAAGTGCTCTGACTGGGCTATTTCCCTATTTATGGGAAGAATGTTATACTGGGATTTCACCCGTAATCATCGACCCCGATAGCTGTGAGAGAGTCATGTCCATGAGAAAAAGAGAAATTCTGGTATTGCATATATAAGAAATGAGAATTCTTACCATGCAAATTGGCCTTTTCAAGAATTGATATTTGAGAACTTGAAATAAAATAGGCTTTGATCGGTCAACGAAATGCTCTGCTTTCAAGCCTGATAGGTCATTCTCTTTCTAGTTAACAGCTGTTCAGGCATCCGAACAGGGGTTTAGTCAACTAAGTCTACCTCATAGCAATTAGAGCACTCTAGTTCCCGTCCTATACTATAGTTCTCGTCCTGCCTTCCCAACAGGACAGACAGGTTTGCTATTCGACTGTCGGAGGTTCGAAATGAATGGGGAGAGAGAAGGTTGAAGTATACGTCACGTTGCAATACGGATAATATAAAGAGTGACGCCTTTCAAGTAAAGATGATCTTTCTCGTTGACGAATCAACCGGGAGGAAGGAATAGACTCGTACCTTCAAGGCGCACCTTTGCTTCAGTGGAAAGAGAATTGGCAATCACTGGGGAACGGAATTGGGGATCACTAGCTTTCAACTCAGCTTTCCGCTCAACCTCAGGCTAAATAACCTGATATTGATGACAGCCGACCCTTCGCAGAAGGAAATCCTCCAGCAATTTATCTGGATTTGCCTCCCCCAGAACCAATAGCCTACGAGCCGGCTTAGACTGTTAGTACGGGTACGAGGGGATAGACCATAAGAAAGGAAATCGACTTTATAGCGTGAGGGGGCGGAAAAAAGTCGTAACGTAATAAGAAGTAGGTTCAAAGAAGCAGGCATGTAACCCGCATCACCTACTCGCTCAGGAAAGTCAGAAGGGAAGGCATATCCGATCAGATCAGTCCTAGTCCTAAGGCGCAATCGGAGCTTACCTTTGGTTCGGGAAGCCCAATCCGCGCCTAGGTTCTTCGTCCTCTCATTTGGAAAGGCAAGCAAGTAAGGAAGGGGGTCTGTGATTAATAGGTAAGCCTGTGCTGCTAGTGTTAAGCTAGTGGTAAGGCAGCAGTAGGCCAGTAATCTTTCTAAGAGTATGCCTTTCCAGGCAAGTATTCTCCCGCTTTCAAAGCGAAGACGTTGACTAGTAGCCGGCTGACTTACTAATACCAGCACCACTAAAAGAAAGAGGGCTTTCTTCTGCCTTTCCTTCCTTTTACACCTTCGATTGGGACTTCTTAGTGGTCCTTGGCCATTCCTCCTTGACCCAGCTGTCCATCATGTCTTGTCTTAGAAGAGAGATGCCATGGCCCATGTTTGAGATTGTTCAGGATCAGTCAAGTCTTGTCTTCTTTTCTTTCAATTATGGTAGAGTGAGATGATAGCGATTCTGAAGAGGAGCCTTAGGCAAAAGGTCTGAGCAAAAACTTGAATAAATGCGAAAGTTGGTCAGAAAAGTCGTGATTGACGAAGCCTGAGACCATTGATCTAGAGCCGCCTGGACCTGATCTCCTTTGTCATAACCTAGAGGCCTTAGCAGAACCAAGCTAATTTGTTCCTTTCTTTGGCTATACAATCGCCTTGTCTCTGGGACTTAGAGTCGACCGTAGGCTTTGTTGAAGTCACCGGGTAAGGGTGTTAGGCTGATTCCAGTGAGTGGATGGCTTGAATGATGCCTTGGAGAGAGGGAAAGACCCAAGTTGCCTTTGGAAAGAGGTTTGCAAGTCCTTACGCTAAGGGAGAGGCTCGACCATAGGTTTGTCTCATTCGTTTAAGTGGGGCTCCCGCTGTTCCAGTCTGTCTTCCTATTTATTCAGGATGGAATGCTAGACCCAAGGGAGTGGATGGACCAGTGGCTTAAGCTTACAGTCGTTGAATAGGCTGAGGTCTCGTTGCGCGGCTTCCTCGCCCTTATGTCGAGTTGGGACACTTGGCCACTTACGCCTGCAGTTGCACTTAGTAGGACAGGGAAGACTTCTTTGTTTCGACTTTTGACTCAATTGACATGAATCCAGCTCCTTTGTTAGAATCCGGTGATGCTGCTTTCGCCCAACTCTTTGAATCATTGATGAGTCAAGTCAGTCCCTGATCTCCTCCGGCGGCCTGACTTTGCTTTCAGGTCAATAAACGAATCTAGCTTACTTAAGATTTTGAAAAACTCTTGGCCGTAACCCATCGTCCTTTAGATGTGGAATTCTATTTTCCAGGGCCTCGTCGCTTAAGATTCTAAATAAACTGAATCCGTTAGTTCGGGGGAAAGAGAATCAATCTGTTGGTTAGGCGTCTGCCTTTGTATCTTTGGATCTGTATTCATACGTTGGAGTTGGAACTACAGCCTCCGCCCTCCAGCAAAAATTCTTAAGCTTGATCGGTGTCATAGCCTGGGACCTTGCAGACAACCCACACATCGCCCGTCGCGCGCGGTCGTCGCATGAAGGTTTTTGTTTTTATGTGCTGCTATGCGCTTTCTCGCTTGCCTATCTCTTTGCCTTTCTCTCGGTAAGCCACATACGATTGGAGCGGTGCCACTTGGCGATCTTACCAACGCTTTGCGATGAAAACCATGTGCTCTCGATTTCGGTTAGACAACCCGGTTACGAATCTACTTATGTCACATCCTCACGCGTATAAAAATTCTCTCTCCGAACGTGAGCTTGTATTTAAAAAAAATCGATTTCGTTCGATCGAACATTAGAGATTCACAATCAGAAAGCCAGAGCTATGGTATGGGCCGCCGGGTTATGGATAGTGAGGAAGGTCGTGCCAATTGAGGTATGGGCTGTGTGATGACTTTATCTTTTAGGGAAGGCTCTTTACCAAGTGAGTCTGCGTAGCATGCTCAGAACCAGAAGAATCATTTGAAATCCATTTTCACCCGGATGAAGCTTCCTACTAACTACTTGAGAGTGGGCCGGATTATGTTCTGTGTCTCAGCTGCGAGAATCTGCTTCATTCCGAAGAAGGATAAGAGAGATTCTTTTTCTAAATCTACGTATTTCGCTGTTTACTTTACGGATGTGAGACCTACTTCTTTACGAGCCTTTCTGTCATCTAAATGATAAAAAATGGATTATATTATTATGATACGGGGATAAATTAAATCTTATCCCGTTAACCGGGTATATCCTTACATGTCCCTTTGCTCTTTATCTGTCGGAAGATGGTAGTGCTCTCTCGAATCCAAGCGGTTGGTGACAACGTGAATTTTATTAGGAGGGACAATTGATTTTGGAAGAGATTGAATTAAAAAGAATGCGAACCTCGGTCTAATCGAGTGGATCCCAAGCCAGCCCATTAACCCATGTTCTGCTAGCCAACTAAGCTAAAGCTTGCCATCGGCACGCTTCGTTTGGAAGTAAGCGCATCTGCCCACCCTATCCATAACCTGTAAGAAGGGAATGACCAACCAGCGAAGCGGAGCCCGACTACCGATCACGGGCCCGGTGTGATCTAACGAATCCGGGAAAGGAAGTGACTCGCGGAGCACCCGTTCGTCCTCCTCCGAACCCCATCCCTATGACTCAAGATCTATAGCGCCATCAGGCGTAGCGAGACAATGAGTTCTGTTCCTCCAACCTTCTCATCCAAGTTCTTCTTCTTCACCAGGCCATAGCACTAAAGATCCCTCGTCTCCTCCTTCCTATCGAGACCCCATCTCCTGCACCTGCTAAGCAAGATCTTTCATCTTCCACTACCAAGCATCTCTATCTCCATTTCTTTGTTCCGATGTCTATCCTGCGGACTTCCCATATCTAGATCCCTGGGATGCAATGAGGCAAATCCAAGTCTTTCTTCCCCTGGGTCCTCGTAGGCGAAAGAAAGAAGAAAATTGGGGCGGCCCAACTGATAGCTAGAAATTCTTCCCCATGACCAGCTAACCCGCTAAGGGACGGAGGTTAGCCCATATCTGGATATCCAAGCGGGTAAGAAGCACCATCTTCTCTCTTTCCATTCCCATCGGGAGTACCAAAACAAGATCTTTCCAGGTCTCCCGAACCAGCTCTGAGGAACCAATCCATTTCGTCCCTAGCCATCAGACTATCCATATCAAGATATGTGGCCATGAAATAGGGATTAAGTGGAACAGAAGGGTGGTAGAGTCGTGGAAACACCTCCTTCTTCCATATTTTGGACACGGAACATACTGCTGAAACATGGAAGAATTTAAATCTTAGATCAAAACACTATGTATGGATGGTATGAACTGCCTAAACAAGAATTCTTGAACAGCGAGCAAGCAGAGCTATTACTCACTACATAAAAAAATTTTTCTTAATGAAAGATGTCAATCCATTGGAAAAATAAAAAATACGTATGTCGGATGAAATGGTGGTTGTTGCTATCTGCTCCAATAACGAATCGTTGGTTTAACTGAATAACTAAATAAAATAGATAGACCCTTCTCTTCGTCTCAGGTCGATGGATCTTCTCAATTGGAAGATCCCCTATATGGATAATATACACATTCCAGTTGACCGGGCCTAATTCTTTTGTTCCGAAGCAAAGATATCCACGGGGCGGTTCGTCCTATTCAGATATTCACGACCAAGAAGTACTGGATTCTCTTTCGGATAGGCCCTGAAAGGAGAAAGAGAAGGAAGGCTGGAATGCCAACAGACGTCTATTATTGAATTCACCCGACCCGATAGTACCCATTTTATTTTGGGAACATCCAGTGCCAAAGTCACTGAATGGGTAAGTCGCCAATCCCTAAAACGGACTATGTACTGTACTTTATCACCTCTATTCTTTATAGAGGTATAAAGCGCATGAGCTTGAGCTGTCTCAAAAATGTTGCAATGATTTCGCTCAGCTACTTCGTTATGTTCGGAAGTATGCGGGCCGATGAAGAATGCGTCGAAAAGGACACAAGACCCTGGAAAGCAAGCAAAGGAGCGAAAGGGTGGGAGGCATGGCGTATACCCTATTCTAAAGACCGCTCTTAGAAAGCTCTTTTTCTAGTTAAAGAAAATAAGTACTGCTTGGTCTCAGTTAACCGGTTGGAGGGTTTTGACCTCGGCAAGCCGGCCTTCATGTGGTCACCATGAGGGATGATTACCGAAGCAATCAGCGGTAGCTAGCCACTCCGTTCTCTTATCAGCTATACGACTGATACAGTTAGACTAAGGTATAGCTGATAGTGACTTGGCCTAATACAAAAAACCCGAGTAGGACGAAGACTTTCCTCTCTTAGTAAAGGGTGATATAGTCGAACTTCCACGAAAAAGGATCGATGAATTCCCTTCTCTCCACCGCTCGGTTACCGTAACGGATTGAGATATAGAACCGGCAACCGTATCTGGACGTCCAGGGTAGAACTTTTGGGGTGCTAACTTTCTGACTCCTGTTTCAATATATTGAAAGTACTATGAAGAAAGAGTAGTGAGAAGGCAGAAGATAAAATCTCTTCTTCGGAATAAGCGAATATGCTTGCGAACCCTCTCCAAGGAAAGCATGGAAAGAGGTGGCCCGAAAGGGCTCCTTCGACCAGCTGAAGGAATTTCTTCCAAGTTAGTCGCCACTGAAATTAGGCATACCAAAAAAGATCTATGGCTTCGGCCAGAAATCCGAGTCCCTTTCCTCTTATTTTCCCATATGCATCGGCTTTCCTAAACGCCCTACAATCAAACTCAAGCCTAATCTCAAGAAATCTTTCTTTTCTCCTAGGTTCGACGCTCTAGATGGGAAATTGATCAAAAGTCCGTCTTTCTCGTGTGATCTACAAGTAGTGCTTGAATAGGACTTCTTAAGAATTCAAAGCCAAGCCAAGAGGGAAAGAAGTTTGCATGAACCGGTAGCTGTTAGACTTGCTCCTAGAGCAGAAAGAAGTCAACCAAGCCCAGTCAAGAGATCCTAGAAGATCAAGAGAAAGAATTTCTCACATACGAGCGGGACTCAAAATCTTCCCCTTCCGATTAACAATCTCTTCCTTCCATTATGAAGATTCATTTCAAAATTCTGAACGTTCATCTCTCTTTTAGTAGTAGTCGGAGTACTGGGGAATATCTTAGAGAAGTCAAAAAGGAAATGCCAACTTTCCTTTCCCTCCTAAGCTCCTCATTTCACACAATAAACTATTTTCCGACATTGATTTTCTTTACTTCACTCGCTTTCGAGTCGACGAAGAAAAGAAGATTAACAACATATTGCCTTCTGGAGATAGCTTGCCTTCAATATTCATACCTAATGATTTTCCACAAAGTGACCATCTTCGTTCACAGAGATTGAACCGCACAAGCAAGAGATGGAAGCTAGACAGAAGGAAGTTTTTACCCCAGATGCACTCTTGGAAGAACAATCTGAATCTTTCTTCTAGGTTTAAGCTTACCTTAGATTCAGATCTCTGGAGAGAAGCAGTGAATCGATATCTGGATTCCCCGATCCCAAACATATTCAGATAGTTAAAGATGTGAGAAAGAGAGATTCAGGCTTTGAAGTGAAGCTGGAAATGAAACACTGTCTATTCCTATATTTAAGTCAATCAACCCGTTGCCTCCAATTTCTTTTTTGAGTAGGCATTCATTCTAGTCTTTTCGCACTTAAGTCAGCCTCTTCTTGGGGCTTTCAAAATTTAGAATCAGGCCTAGTGGCAAGCCTAAACCGCAATGTCATCGAAAAGGCAAGCAAGTCAAGTAACTGACTCATCAATCGATTTCCCACCCATGCGAGTCGAGGAAATGGGAATGAATGCCGCCATATAAGGCTTTTAGAAAGAAATGCCTTCTCCTCTCCCTCCTTTGCTTGTTTAGTTTGAGCATTCCGAACTAGGCCAGCTATTAGCTTAGTGCGACGCGCACCCTCGAGTAAGTTGACTTCTTTTCCGCTTTCTAGACAGACGAAGGAAATTCCCTGTCTACGATTCAGCCTATTCTTCCAAGGGTTTCATAACTGGACGTTGAATCCATTTCATATGATGAATTGTCTGAAGGCTATCCCCTAGTCATTACCGGTCCAAGCGAAAGTAGGGCGGAGATTCAACCAACGATCCAGTCTAGTCATTTCAGTGCGATTAGCGGAGAGAAGGAAAGCGAGTCCAATAAAAGCTTCGTCAACCGACCGAGATGCCTATTCAAGATCTGACTTCGAAAAGGAATAGAAAAAAGAAAGTGAAACTCGCGCCTAGCTGTCGATTGGAAAAATGAACCATTTTCTTTATTTTAGTTTTGAGAGGTCTATCCGTCGCTGTCGTCCCTACCCGCTCCAGTCGATGTATTGGAAAGATCGAGTCTCTAAGATTTCCCCCCGGGTGGGGGGAATTGGAATGCATCAGCCGGTTAAGAAATCCCTTACTCATCGATCCTAGCCAGTATGACTTCTTCCCCCTTCCTCCCCCAATCTCTTCTCCTGCCGGAATCGAGTCAAGATCTTTTCCCGTTCATTCCTTCCCCCCTTTCACTGAAGGCAGCTGTCCTAGATGCGGAAAACCGGAAACCTTAGAAGGAAGCCAAATGTAACATTGATAAATTAGGTGAAGGTGCGGAAAGAGAGGGATTCGAACCCTCGGTAAACAAAAGCCTACATAGCAGTTCCAATGCTACGCCTTGAACCACTCGGCCATCTCTCCTACATAATGATTAGGATAATGATTATGGCCCCGAAAGCGAGTGAATCGCGAGTCAATCCCGATTTGAGAATGAAGATAACTGTCAATGCAACTATTGATGTAATTATTCCAACTCTATTTAGTATCATACATATTAGATTAGATGTTGGATAGGTACGGTACATAGAATTAATTCTAACTATAAAAAATAGAATAGAAAAATATATAAGGAAATTGAAAGAGAAAAGAGTATTGATGAAGGAAGAAAGTGCGAGTAAGCGCTATTCCTTCTCAAGAAGCAGGACCCGCGCACCAAACTTCATGCATTCCCCTGGAGCCTTGAGTAATAGGATTAAGGTAGTAGAAAATAAAAAGAGTATCTTCCTCCCTTACTCTATTACAGCCTAACAGGAATAGCAGGAGGGGAGGCCAGGCAATCTTGGTACAATGACCGAGAAAAGCAATAAGCACAAAAAAAGATAAGCCCAAAATACAAAGAGAATGAAATGGGCAAGCCTTCTTCCCGTAGATACTGAGGCTTTTAATAATCTTGGTCTCGGGGAGAAATATAGTCTTTTCTTTTTCAACCACTACCAGAGCATCCTGTGCAAAGAAAATGCCCACGAACCAAATCCTGAGGATTATCAACTTCTTTGACGAGAGGCGGGACGAACTGGACATCCACCTAGAGGAGGCAGAAAAAGAAAGATAATAACTAGAATTTGTGGATTACGAATCCATTTCCCTTTCATCCTTGCGCCGAGTAGTCAAGTTGGTCATGATATCATAGAACGCGGCCCCGACTTTATCTATATGAAAGAAATTCTTGGATATGATGATAACGAGTAGCAGACTTCTTAAAATCCGGTAAACATGGTAGCCCCATTGGACTGGATTGAATCCTTACTTCCTAGTAGCAAACCTTTGACTCGTTCCCACAATCATCTGTCTTGTATACCTCAGATAACCCAAAATACCAGATGTACTCTCACCAGGAACTGGATTTCAGCTTGAAGACAAGACTACGTAATCACATCCACTCTTTCTTCTGCTCATCGTACCCAATACAACGTATGTATCGCCTTCTTTTACACAGGTGTCTTAAAGAAGGAAGGGCACTGACTCATCGAAGTATACATCTTGAAATTTGAATTATTTGCTTAATTAAAAACTATAAGCCCAAAAAAAGAAAGTAACTAGAAAGGGGCTTGGCTTATAGTACTGATATCCGAAGCCGGTGTGGAACAACTTATTCAGATCAATCAATGCGCCGGCTCGGAATCATCGTCTGTATCTAGTGAAATCAAAATACCCTATACACCCTTCAGCCCCTCTTGTTCGAGTAAGACTTTATAGTCGTCCACTAGCGTAAGAGTTAAATGCAGGGAAAAAGAAGAAGAAGGCGCGTTAAGAAGTGAAAGAATGAAGCTGGAATCCTTTGGGAAGAGATTGAAGATGTCTTGGCCTCAGCCACTCATAGAAGAGGAAGGGGAGTGAAAACTCTCACTAGGGGCTGTTAATATGTTATTTCTAGAGGAAGAAGTTACAGATCCTGGGGGAAGGAAGGAAAGCCGTTCATGACCGACTAGACTGACTCCTTATTTAAATAGTCATATGGAAAGTTATCCCCCTCGGGATAATTGGCCTACCTCAAATTTGCCTTCGTAGAGCATCGAAAAAAAGATCTCCTTTTATCCAACCCCATCTTTTTGGCTTCAAGTCTATAATACGAGACCACCCAAGCAAGGAAAGAGTCAAAGTCAAGCAGGACTGGCCTCTTTCTCTTCTACCGATCCTGACCCTACTGAAAACGAGGATCGGATCAGAAGGAAAGGCTACTGACTTGGCTACAAAACTAGGCCTTAACGTGGTGCTCGTAAAGCTGGAATGGCAGGCACCACTCGGCTCGAGATAAAGCTTACCGTAGAACTGCAAACGCGCATTAAGGCTCCTCCCCAGCTCGGTCGGGGGTTCTTGTCTCATCGTGCGCACAACGAACGATGCCGGAGGCCGATCCGGAGGAGTTTGCTCGATGTAGGCAAGAGAAACGGCGGCTAAATTAATACATCGCTCCTGTACATTTCTTTCGCTTGAGGTCGGCTAGCCAACAGGCTGCGCCCCCGCCATGGCTCTAGAGGCGTGAAAATATGATAGCGAGATGGAAAATCTTATACTAGCTGCTATGCCTGCGAATACGAATTTGGTCTCGATCCACGGCCATCGGTAGCCCAAGGTCCGCGTCCTTCTGCAGAGCTTGTCATTCACTCTTGTTTTCATTCGTTAAGATCATGGAAACCGAAGGGAGCAAGAAGTAGGGCTGCGGGCTTAGCATCGACGCGTTTGTTCCATTCTTTCGATTCGTATCTCCTCCCTCATGGCCCATTTGGTCGGTGTCTCATGAAATTTGGGGAAAGGGTTGAAGACAGGGGAGTAGGAATAGTGGGACAAAGGCGAGTCCAGGTACTGCGGTCGAGTAGACTCCGTCCCTAGTTGGAAAAAGGACCGGAAAGTCGACCAAAAGAGGCGAATGATCCAATGGGTTGGGAGGGATACCAATTTTGAAAGCCCACTTACATCAGAATGCCGATAAAAATAGAAAATGAGAGACCCAAAGTAATGAGAAAATGACTTGTAACTGTGAAGCTATAAGGTATCATACCCTGAAGATTACGAAATAACGAAAAAGTAAAAGTGACCAAGATGCGAGGGAAAAACTTTTGTTTAACATTTCCGGAAAGACCACCTATTTGTTCGTTTACCGGGTTCAGCACGAAATCATAAATAAACTCTACCAAGGATTGCCAAGCATTTGGTACTAAGGTTCCTCCTCCCTTTTTAGTAACAAAATGAACCAGAAGTAGGACCAAACTGAGAGTTAGCAGCATAAACAAAGATGGATTTGTGAATGAGAAATACAAGTCCCCTATTTGAATAGGAATCAATGGGAGAATGGAAAATTGCTCAAGTGGGCTGTTGGGCGTAATCGTAAGAAAGACTTTTCATTTCATCCCTGTAGTTCCGCTTCTTGCTTTCCAGGAAGACTTGTCGAAAATCGCTTGGTCCAACCAAGAAAGGCATGGGAGTCTTGGGGCATTGCTTGGGACGAGTTAAGTAAAGACTGGCTACCTAGTTACACTACCTCTGACTCTCAATGGGGATTAGGGCCAACACCCCACTACCGAACTATGATTCTAAAAAGACTATCTTTATAAAAAGAGATCATAGCTTTGGAGGGCTCTTATAATCCTGCGATACGGAACGCTTTGCCGTGTACCATTTTCCCTGATTTGGTTCAGATGGTCCACGTAAGTGGATTCAGAAAGCGCGGTCCCGCCCGGGTAAAACAAGAACCCCCGTATCCGATGTCTTTTTTCAAAGATAGTCTCACGAGAATACCCGTCGGCCACGAGAGCCCCCTCGATATGTTTTTCAATTTCCCGCTGGGTCCGCACAAACGATTCCCGAACGTCGGGGTTGTATGATATACCCGAAAAATGAATACCCAAACGATCATTGAGCTCTGCTTCGCGGGTAGAGTCATCCATCAAAGGAGGGTGAAGCTCCGGAATCAGAGGCTGCTGATTGACGCTCGCTTCGGAGCTTGATGAGCCGCCCTCAGCCGACCCAGACGGAACCATATTTTTTCCAAGAGAGGGTGCGGCCTCGGCAGTGAGGAAGGCTTGAAAAACATAAGCAATGGCCAAGGCTAGACCCCCAGAGAAGCCCAAGCCCTTACATAGAGCTAACGAGAGGGCTCGCCCCCGTGGAGATGAAAGCCTTCGAAAGTAAGGCATGAAAGAAATCCATTCTTCCAAGAATGAAAAACAAAGAAGAGTCCAAAAGAGTGATTTCCTGTCCTACGAGGTTTGTCTTGCTTTGCATGATGGTATGATGAATGAGTGGGCGATCTTTGATGCTGAGGAAAGCTAGCCTTTTTTTGTGTAAGCCGGTTATTGTATTACTCGTCGAAAGCATAAGTAAGATATGACTTCTTCAGAGCGACCTAATGAGTAGTTCGAGGAGCAGAAACAAACTGACTGACAACATGCACTGCATAAGCAATATCGGGACGAGTAACAGTCCGATAAACCAACCAACTCACGATACAAGGTAGGATCACCCAGAGGAACACCATCAGAAGTTGAATGTTAAACTTTCAACTCAATAGGAGTGGCACGTAGTATCAGTCAACCCAGCACGGTGAATAACCTCATTCGCATACTTGGATTGGGAGAGAAGAAACCAAAGGGGAGAGGAGGCAACTTCAATGCCCAAGAAGTCGCGAAGGGGGCCCAAATCCTTCATTTCAAACTCATGCAAAAGATGGTGTTTGACTTCCATTATACCTGCAGTGTCAGGACCTGTGATAATCATATCATCTACATACAACAAAAGAAGAACCGGTCCACTAGAAGAGTGACGCACAAAAAGAGCAGAATCATGTGCACTAGAAGAAAACCCAATCCTGGTTACTGCAGACTGATAACGTTCATACCAGGCACGAGGAGACTCGCCCATAAAGAGCCCGACGTAAGTGACAAACATGGCCAGATGGGTGAGGAAGCCCAGGAGGAGGACGCATATACACTTCTTCAGTCAGATGCCCATTCAAGAAGGCATTTTTCACATCCATTTGAAACAAAGGCCACTGACGAACAGCTGCAACAGAAATTAAGGTACGAACAGTGGTTATCTTGGCAACAGGAGCAAACGTCTCCTCATAGTCAATACCATACTCCTGAGAAAAATCCTTAGCAACCAACCGCGCTCGCTCAAGAGAACCATCAGAATTGGTTTTAACCTTGACCATTTGCAACCAATAGCATTTTTACCTTTAGGCAAGGGAACAAAATCCCGGGTACCAGTCTTATGAAGAGCAGTCAACTCATCTTGCATTGCAGTTATCCAACTAGAATCAGTACATGCTTCCTTATATGACTGAGTCTCATAAAAGGAGTGAATAGAAGCAAGAAAAGTACGATGAGAAGGAGGAAGGAGCAAAGAGAAAGAAGGCATAGCATAATCAGCAAAGAGCTGCAAAAGCTGTACAAGTGGTCTCAGTCTTCGTCGATGTAGTACAATCAGTTGTTCTTGTAGATCGAGGCTAAGGGCTGATAGGTGTGTCACCTTCCCCTACCCGTCTTTCTAGGCGCAGGCTTCGCGAAATTCCGCTATTCTTTGACTCCCTCCGCTAGTTGTCCGTCCCTCTTGGAAGCTTTCCGGGCTTTCCATTAGCTTTCGAAGCTGTCCTACCAGCATTCCAAGCCGCCTAAGCAGCCTAATCCAAGTCATCCTAGTAGGCCCAATGAGTAATCCCTTGAGTCAGCGCAAAATCCTTTCTTTCTTTGTTCTAGCGCCCGAGCCTTCTTTTTCTTTCTTCCGGTTGGGGAAATGGCTCATTATTATTGATGTGTCAGGTGTCAAACCCTTTTCTTATTCTTTTAGTTCTTGTAGCTGCTTTACCTGTGTGGGACCATCGCCTAGTGTCTTTGCCTATGGTTGATTGGTCTAAGGTTTAAAGTACGAGTATAAGGTCTGTCCCCATGCGCCTATCATCTTAGTCAGCGGCAGTGCCTTTCCTCACGTTCTTTGTTATAGTTCCCCGGTTCGCTCCTGCCCACGGAGCAAGGAATGAGTTTTGTGTTCGAATCAGAGTCAGGTAAGGGCATCGGATCGAGTTTATCTTCTTGCCGGCCTAGCGCCATTGGCTTTTGCTTGACTTCTTGTAATTGTAAGAGCTGACCCAGCAACAAGGGCATAGCAGATCTATCTTTGCTTCATTCATCCTTAGCCTTAGCGCATCAAAGAGCCGCTTTCAGTTAGTGACCGCGTCGCTTTCAGGCTTCTTACACGTATTTTATGTGCCGCTATTCAAGAAGACGGAGAGGCCTAACAAAGGGCCTGATCAACCAAAGACTAAGGAAGAGGCGGTAGATCGAAGGAAGGGCCAATAGAGAAGAAAGAATGTTGAAATGAGAGTTGCATTTAGTAGTGCCGGCGCCTCATCCAAATGAGACTTGGAAAGCGAGATAGGGCTGGGAGGCAGGAAGAAGACTACACGAGTGGTGGTTCGGGAAGGAATCTCTTTGACTTTATGGTGCCATAGCTTCGACTCCATCCCAGTAATAGTAAGAGGAGGGAGCCGCTACTTCATCCTCGGGAGATCGGGATGAGGCAAAAGGGGGCTTTATTAAAGTCCTCTGGGTCGTCCACTAAGTGAGTGAAAGAGGTATGTATCATTGGGAGAATTTTGAAGAGAGAAGGCCCCACTATGTGAAAGAAGAGCTTTTTCTCTCATATTCACTTCTATAGAACATATAGAAGAAGTTCGCTTAGCCGCAGCTGAAGCCATAGATCTTGCCCGGTCCCAAGGTTCATCGGTCGGACTCCTCATTGGAAAAAGAATGGCAAAGGGTGGGATCAGGGAAAAGCTGTTTAAAAAAGAGCGCTTATAAGACAGATATCACGCCATAGGAAAGACATTCTGGCTTTTTGACTTGACTGACTTCTATTCCCTAGCCTTAACGCTGCCATAACCTTTCCCTTAGCTGCCACAAGACGTTCAAGCACTGCGAGTCGTGCTTCTAGCGAGTAAGCACTCCTCTATAAATTAGATGGACTGCACCCACATAGGGAGTCTTACTCGCCGATCGAATTATCTGAGAAGACCAATCTTGAAGCTATTTCCCACAGGAAAGGAAGTTCTCGACTGAAACATGTGTGAACCGTAAACCGATCCCTCTTGATAGACCTACTTACGTCACTCGAGCTTATCTCTGTTTCCGGTTGAGCAAGACAATCCCTTGAAAAGGCGCCCTTTCATTTTTGATAACTCCAGTACTGGGAGAGACTAGCGTAGAGTACTATATTAATAAAATCATTTACGCCTACGCTGGATATTCTTCATTGATCCAGATGTTCGAAAAGTGGCTCCGGCTGATCCTACCCTGTGAGCTAAGGATCTGTACCACTGCTTTTGTCTT